GCGGTATACGAACTAGCATTGTGCAATAAAATATCAATATACAGCTTAAATAATAACTATTTACGAAGCAAAAACAATTTATGATAAACCTACCTAAAACGGCCACAATGAGCAGCGAAATTGGTTGAAAAGAACGAAGTGAGTCGCAACATATATATCGTTGCCAGATTTTTTAAATTCGATTCATCAACGACAAATGAGAAAGCGAGAGATAAAACATTTGATTCGTTTTGGAGAATCTGTATAAAACAATTATGAATTGTAAATTATTACTTGTTTATTGTTATATAACATTATGATAACAAAATTAAAGTCATTCATATAGTATCCTTACTATAAACTTTGTCGCTGTCACTTGTAGGTGTCGCTGCCTTAAGACCATTTGATGTCCCTTGCGACTTCTGTAACGCAATTTAAGTTAGTTTCCTTTTGTGCTTTCGTTCTTCTTTCGTTGCTCCTTTTGCTTCTTTTGTTTTTTCCGCAAATTACAACAACAACTTGTTAGACGTAGAACACGGAATTTAGACAATAGTTTTAGAAAATATTTACTCGAGTGTTTATTAAATTTGAGTTGAACCACAAAACCCCATTGGAATATTTTTCGAATTGTTAAAAATTCGAAGATTATACGCTGTGTTTGGGATTATATACAGCCATATCAAACCGTGCTGCTACTGCTCTGCTATGATTAAATGGAATCTGAACGGTTCTCCCTTTTTCTAATATTTCGTAATGTTGGCTTCATTGTAGGTTTTCAAGAAATCGACCAACCAAAACTGTAATTATTCAAAATAAAAAATAAAATCCACGAGAGGCCGTATAATGTTTATAGTTATTTTATACCATTCCCAACTTATTCCAAGTGTATTAGACGTTCCGTATCGGTATATGAAACGGTAAAAAAGGTAATTGTTCAATTATTTATTCAATTTATTCGAAATACAAAACCACTTTTACCTATTATAAATATATATTTTTCATAAAATTATCGAAATATACACTATGTTTTTAGTATTATATATGGCCAGATAAAACGTTTAACTACTATTCTGTCATGATGAATTCGAATCTACAAATTTTTTTTTTCTTCTAATATGTTGTAATGCTGGCTTTATAGTAGGTTTTCGAAAAATCGCTTATTCAAAACTGTAATTTTTCTACATTTCTAAAGAATTCACGAGGTGGCGTAAAATGTTTTTTATTTTTTTATTTTATACCTCCGATACTTGTTTTGAATGTATTAGACGTTCAGTAACAAAGTTAAAAAATACTTGTTCAATTTTTCAGTAAATTTAGTTACATAATTTATTTAAACTATGATACATGTATATTTTTCATTAAATTATTTGAATATGCGCTATGTTTGGCATTATATATGACCATGTTGAACCATGCTGCTTTTCTGTCATCATAATGAAATCGAATCTATAGTTTCCCTTTTTCTTTAAATATGTCGTAATGTTGGCTTTTTTAGAGGTCATCGAGAAATACCTGCCCAAAAACTGGTCATTAGATCAACTGTAATCAATCATTCTCATAATACTTGTTTTACAGTTTTTTGGACACGTTTAGTGGCCATAACGATCGTTTTAATATTATGTTGTTGTTGTTGTTGTTGTTGTTCTTGTTCTTGTTCTTTGACACGTTTTTAAAAAATCGCTTTTCTCTTCGAATACTGGACCAATTGCTTTGAAATTTTCAGTGGTTAAAGATTAATTTCTTCGCTAGAAGGCTATTACTTATTATTTATATTTATATATATATAGCTATTATTTATTTCAAAATTTTGCGTGAATTCTATGAAATTTGATATTTCGTCTAAAATTTTGCTGTATTATTTTTTATCCATGGGAACACGGATTTTAGTCAGTGTCATGACTGGCTGTACGTTTTGATTCTGCAAAATTCTTGCTACTGGAAATTCAGAACTCTTTTGAGGGTACCGGTAGCGTCAAAGGTACCGGTAAAGACTGATTCGCTCTGGTCTAACGTGTCCATATATTTGTGCGTAGCTCTCTTGTTTATTGCTACTGTTGCTTGTCTATGCGAACTACAGGGTTGTCGCTATAAAAGCAGAAAATTTATCAAACATTCAATTTTTACAAAGAATGACTTTAATGAGATTATTAAAGACATGCTATATTACATTCATAGATAATAAAAATGTCATCTGTGCAGAGCAGTATCTTAGTCCAAGAAATGATTAAGAATGCATTTTATTCCTGATCTCATTCGAGCTTTCAAATTTCTGCTTTTCTAGTGACCACCCTGTATATTTTGAATGTGGCATCCAATGTTATCATGCGAATCTAGACTTAAACAGACTAATTTAAAAGGTTCCACCGAATACCACATAGCCGTATAATTATCATTTCATATTTACATAAACATTTAAAAGATTCTAGGTAACATTTCGAGTGCAATCTTCTGATTGGACCCATCTCTTTCAAAAACTTTTTCTCGTTTCGACCTTCTTAGATGCATCAGATGGAATATATATGGGTGGCACTAAGGCAGGGTCGTCCAACCCATGGCCGCGGGTCACATGTAGCCCGCCGAAGGTTTCCGAGTGACCCGCGTGATATTATTCGAATCCCAATGTTTTTCATAAATCTGAACCATTATTGAAACTTCTAATAAAAAGTTTTTCCTCGTCGTTTAAACGCGCGAGAAGCACCACCCAGCTATCGAAAGCTTTTTTATGTCCCTTTGTGGGCGTAATTGCTGGAGAGAGATGTTTGGATTTATTTTTATCGTCTGTCATGTATTTCAATCTGATTTCCTGTCTTTTTTTCTGCGAAGCTAGAAGAGGCAATTTTTATGACCTCAATATTTGACAGCACTTACTTGTGCGAGCAAGTTTTTTTCACAGATGAACCATGTCAAATCCCCCTGAAATCACTAATTTCGCTGATGAAAAATTCGCTCTGCATTGCTACCTCGTCCATCGCACCGAATATTGACAAACTTATTGGATAAAAGCGGTGTCATACTTGACATTGAAATATATATGCGTAGTAAAAACTTTTGACTTTACTGTATCTTCGTATTTTCATTGTGCTTATAATTTTGGTTTGCGTTTTTTTTTTTTTTTTTTATTAATCTGCAGTCGGCGTAGTAAAAACTAGAACATAACCACCATGTCAAGTGGCCCGCGCGATCATTCGTGAACTAAATTTGGCCCGTCGGCCAAAAACGTTGGACCACCCTGCACTAAAGAATGCGTTTCACTTACTTAACATCTTCGGAATAGCGTTTCATCTCTTAAAAACATTCTCATAGAATTCGGTTCCTAACTAAAAAAATTAAAAACCGGTGTAAATTACATTCTAACATGGGTATTCTTCCTGATATTTTACATGATGCTTGTAGACCTTATTCATACAAAAACATTTAAGCTCAATTTTGATATGATTGCTTTTTCTACCTACTTTGTTGCTCCGAACTTTAACACTCGAACAACTTGACTATTGCAGTGACTATTGCAGTGATGCCCCTATATAGACGTTACTTTGAGTCATTCACCATTTACATGTTTTAAGTAAGTAACCAATGCCATACACTCACATGAAAACTTTCTCTCATTAATTTAATCATCAATCAAAAATGTCAAATTCGTTAATATCATAATTGATATAGCAAGTAATTTGTCTGAATTTATATCTAGGTATATTCAATTAATGCTTATATCATCCCAACCTCTTGCTAACTAAATTATTCTTCCATTGAAAGTTTTTGATTGTTTCGGACAAACCTACAATATCACATCCTAGATGTCTTATCACATCTAAAGCTCTTGTCTTTCACGTTATAAATATTTGTATATGATGTGTAGTGGCAGTAGTGGCAAATCTGCGTGAAATGGCGCCTATGGAAATGCGCCCTCTTGATCGATCGTTTACTGAAATTTTTAACTACGGTTTGTTGCTTTGGGATACATTTACGTTATTTAAGTAATTTTTATCAAAATGTGGTTTCGCCCATTGTGCGCCCTCATCCAAATGGCGCCCGTGGCAGGGGCAGGGGTCTTCTTGCTATATATGTATGCCACTGAGCCCAGGTATCGCCCAGAAATTCACAATTCTTCATTACGTGTCTGATCATGACAAAAGCTTGATATCTCGATGTTGCTCGCTTTTAAACAATCCGTCCCTGCATTCCCAGTAATATCTCAACTTTATCCACCTTTTCTCATAGTTTTTTTCCGAAGACTAGATGTATATTTTTGTTTATTCTCTTGCTTGAATAATAATAAAACTATTGAAGCAATATCCGTTCTCCATGCTTATTGGTTGTCGGGGACTGGGTTTTGTTAAAGGCTAATAAGAAATGGGAGTTGGAGCATAGGTGTAAGAAGTGTCTCAAAACGTCATTTTGTCTAGTTTCTGCGGATTTCACATTAGGACGTAACAAGGTTACGACGTCACACTGGCTAGCCGCGATTTTATGGGGCGCCCTAACGCCGGGTCCGGGCCTCGTTTTTTTTATTTTTTATATATATCTCTGGCCGATCGTAGGCCATAGATAAATCGAGTATAATTGCTGAAATTCATACACGACCGTGCTTGATCATACATGATACGAATAAAAATTTTCTATTTTTGAGGTCCTGACCCTTCGATTTCCTTCATCTGACTCTTCGATTTCCTTCATATTCTCTTATTTTGGGGTTTCTGTAGTCCACAGCTCGAGTTTCTCCTTCGTTATATAGTTCTTTGCGCCGCCCTTTCAGTGACGACACACATTTGACAAGCGGATATTACACATTCGCGGGAGTCAAACTTTAGTCCCCGTGAACAAATATATGGTCTACCCAGCGCCTTTACCAACTAGGCCAATTAAGAACTTAGAAACAAGGGTCTAAGGTCTAATATTTATGTATCATCTCAAAGGATTTGTAAAAAAAATATAAAAGTCATTCATGATGAATGATAAATATTAGAACTTAGATCTTGCTCTCGCGTTCCTCCTTGGCCTGGTTGGTAAAGGAGGTTGCTATACCTTTAGTTTGTTCATGGTGACCAAAGTTTGAATCCCGCAAACTTACTGTCCCGATTCAATTTCGTGTCTTCATTAATTGGATTACGCAGATATATAAAGTATGAAGGAAGCTCCAACTTATTATAAGAAGATAGAAATCCCAAAATGAACGAAAATGAAGAAAATCGAAGAGTCACCTTGGAAAATGGAGATTTTTGAAATTTATATTCGGCTCATGCATGAACAGGCTTGATTGTGGATAAATTTCGTAAATTATACTCCTCACATGTACACATCACCACAAAAAAGTCTGCCCCTAACCAATCAATACCTATCATGACCCACGATCTGGGGTGGCTAAAAAAGCGCTGACCTTCTAAAACCCGGATACAAAACTGATTAAAATAAAATGGAAAATACGATTGGTACAATTCTAAAACACTCTATATCAAGATAAAACTGCCATTCTACATCTGCTTCACGTGAGATTAATCATCTTTTACTTACGTCCAGTACGCACCTGAAATATCCTGAAATATAAAAAACTAGTTTAACACAGTGTTGGAAGAAATATTCCACAAACCGCCATGATTTTAATTAAAATAATAACTTCTAGATTAAAATTGCTATCCCCAATTCCATATTCTGCAATTAAAATTACGAGTAAAACACCCATATGCTTGGGATTGAATTTAAAAAGCATCACTTGGGATTCGATAACAGCGAAAATTTACAGCATTCGAAATATCTCCGCAAATTGTTCGGCAACCTTTCGGCAACCTTTTGTCGCTCGTGGGCCAAAATTAAGGGTTGCAAGTCGTATTTTTAGAAAGTTGAAAACCGAACGGATGATACTTTTTATAATAAAAATCAAGCAGTGATAAATCTATCCAATAGAATATAGATTTATTTCCTCATTGCATTGCACCTACAAAAAATCCTATTTGAATCCCATTTGCGGGCCGGATTGTATTACTCCGCGGGCCGTAGGTTGCCGACCCCTGCCCTAAAGGGATGTAATGAAGATAGCCATAGACAGGGACGTGCCAAACTTTTCCGCTGCCCAGGCGAGTTTCCGATAATGGTGCCCCTTATACCCAATTTGAAAAAGGATTTGGGGATAAACAAATTATAGCTAGGCGAATATACTAAAATTTTAAACTGCAGCTAAAATTGGATATTAAAGATATTGATAAAGTAATTGGTTGAACAATTTTTTTCCTTTATTTCACGCCTTTATAAGCAGAAATATATGGAATAATTACTTACTTTATTCAGATTTGTAATATTGAGACCGCCTTGATTCGCTGTTCCCGGCAGAATCTGAATTATAAGTTAAAGTTTAATGACGCAGATTTTTTCACAAGAATAACAGCTATTTACATATCTGTGGCTATTTGACGAAGTACGCTGTTATGAGGGACGGACACACGGCTGTTTTCTTCCCAGTGAGTTATTGATGAAACATGATTCTTATTGTGAGTGACAACTTAGCGAACTGACTGAGTGATGGGTGTTTTCAGTAATTTATATGCCTTGAGGACTTATTAAAATAAAAGTTTGCATACAATCATGTTTAAATATGAAATTTAAATATCTTCTTAGTAATCAAGATTCGATTATTAAGTTATCAGGTATTCCCGGCTTAGTATTGATTGCCAGTTTAGCAGGTGCTCCCGAAGTATGTGCACCAAGATGACGCACAGCCTGAACATAGTATGTGTACCAGATTAGGGTTATCAGTTGTGCGCCATCCTGGCCGCATGTTTGACACCCCTTAACAACATCTTCCTTCTTCGCAAAGCCCTGTGATTATGTTAAAAATTATAAAACTTTTGCTCTATAATCAAGTTGTGATAAAACCTTTAGATTTTGTAACATTTTTAGACCAACTACCTACCTTTCCATTTACATTGACCAATCAGGCCTTTACTTTATAATCAAGTTATGATAAACTATTTTAGATCAGTTACCTTTCTACCTACATCAATCAGTCGTCACTCCACCATCGACCATTCCAATAAAGAAAAACGTTGCAAAACACGAAAATAAATACACTCAAAAGGTATAAGAAAAGAAAAGAAACAAGAACTCAATGCTGAAATCTATATTCATCATATAACACTCAAAATTCTGAATATGACTAAAAAAATGCGCGAAATATCGAAATAGATTATTATTCATACAATTCAAGTTCTAGCTTATATATGCATGAAGAATGGGAATAATCAGTTAACTTAACTATAGCTAGACCTTCCCCGCCTTAAAACTGTGAATACACCTGGCTCAGACCAGCGCAGAAACGACCCCACACTACCACGCCCTGAACTAAAATGTGGTACGCGCGCCAAATAATTTTTAAGGTTGAAAGAGAAAAAAAAGTGTAGTATCAATGAGAAACATAAGGGGAGGGAGTTGTCATTTTTAATAAAGAAACAAAGATACTGTAATCTCTATCTCACTCTAATCAGTAACCAATGATTGTTGTTTACTAGTGAAAATAAAAAACGAAGATTTATTTGGGATGTGACTGAGAAGATTGTCTGATTAAACCACATTCCATGGAAACTTTATCAAGACAACTATTTATTTGTTGTTAGTCTATTTGTGTTTCGTTATAAGCGCAGTCTCGACTAAACATGTTCTAGAAGTCATAATAGGGCATTAGTGTCGTTTACGGGGCTCCATTCCTTTGGGTAATTATAATCGGAATTGATCGTATGACATGGTCTGTTGACATGGTCTACACTCTACAGAACTTCGCTTCATGTTTGTAATTGAGTAATTCCGTTAGAAATTTGAAATATGTATTCATTTATTGATTATCATTCATCTATTTCACATTTGTAAGGATAAAAACAACCAGCAAGCCAGACACCAAAAAAACCATAGATGTAATCGAAGATGCTCATAAATGAAGATGATATACATTTTAACCGAGGCTTGTAAAAAGTCAAAAATTTCAAGTTAAATTAAGTTCAAATCAAACATTATTAAAAACAATAGTTCTTTAAAAATGCTTAGCCTGAAAATATATTTTTGCCTCAAATTATATCAGTGTTTATATTAATGAAGTATTCATTCACCAAACATTTAAATCTGCGTCAAAATGAACTATGTTAGTGTGAGATATCGACGAGACTAATTGTTCTCAATATCATGATTTCAAACCATCCCAAATGTTTGCATACGGTGTATTAAATTACTTTCATCTCCTATGTGTATCCAAGATCGTGGACTAAGCCCCGCATTTGTGCAATCATACGTAAAACTTTTCAACTTTATACGTACTATGCAAATTGGGTTGTGACTTATTCTGATGACTCACGGTCGTATTGTCACAAGAGATGTAGGCTACCGATACCTCTTTTGTCACCGATACCGATCCGATACCAGCTAAAACGCCGATATCGATACCAATACATCGGTATTCAAAAACGGCCGATATTGCCGATATTCCGCTACTATGTAATAATTACTTTAAGTGTGGGGGGGGGGGGGGCAGGGTTAAAACAATAGTTTTCGAACACTATTTAATAGTGCACAATATTCCCGATCAAAAAAGAGAAATATCACATGTATATATATATATTAAAAATTGATGTTTGGGATCCAAAGCATTAATTTATTCAGATGCATTGAGCACTGGCTCAATTAGAAAACTAATAGAATTTGGCTACCGTTGGTGGTAAAATAAATAAATGTTTATCTCTCTTATGAAACTGATACATCTAGTTACGTGCGCAATAACATCGTATTTTATACATCGGAAAATCTACTAATATTCGATTGATAAATTTCTTCATAATTACCATGTAACATTAAATATTTCAATATAAAAATTCGGCAGCAATTGACAGAAAAATAATCTCTCTCTCTCCTCTCTTTGTACGAAACAATATGCTATAGAAATGGCAGCCATATCACTATCGTGTCAGCACAGATACTATCATTCTTTCAGCAGTACGTTTATCAGCGCCATAAACTGAAATTGAAACCACACTTTCACTCAATCTCTGAAAACCCAACTAGAGACTCTATTCTAATCAATACTGGCCGATTTTTCGATGTTGTAAATAATTTAAAATGGTGGAATATGATTTTTTACGCCACCCTGAATCAACGTGTTCTGGAAAACTTTGATTTTGAGATTCGTCATTGGCGGAAAAGTGTTAACCGGAACAACATAAAAACGAGGTATAAGGGAGCTGTCTATAAGGACCTCTAGCATTCATTCTATATACAACATAGCTTTGCAATTATTATCCAAAAGACCCTAAGACGCCAAAAATTACTCATCAAAATATTTCGGACTACATTTATATCCCCTGCCCCTCCAGGTATCCAACTGATGACCCACCCCCCAGTCGCGCCCATATGAAAATCTTCCCTCTCAACATATAATATATAGCCTTGGAAGTGTTATGGTCCATGGTGCTCTTGATTCGGAGAAGACGTTCAAAATCTTATTCAGATATGGTAATAGTGATGTCAGGTACATATATAAATAAAAGAATCTAAAAAAGATATTCCTACAGGAGGAAGTCCATGAGCTAGTAGATAGCAAACAAGTCAAGAGCCTCGAACCAAATGCAAACCCTCTCCTTCCTCCACTACACAGTACAGATGCCCACTTTCACAATTATCCCGTAGAACAAGCAGACAACTTTTACTGCAAGTAAATACATGTATTGTAAATATACATACGACATAAATTGTCGACATCCAAACCTATATGTTATATAACAAGATGCAGACAGGGAGAATAAAGGATCATACGAACATGCAGACATTAGAGAAATCAAAATTCGCTTTATAACTTGAATGCTTGGAAATCAGCTGATGGATTGAAAATATTGTATCGCAGTCGTGCAGTAAAGGAGAATATTTTATTGGCTCGAGAATTTGTACAGGCAATACCAATTTTGTTATAGCATTAAACAATGCTCGACTCTTGTCGTAACTTATTCACTGATAAGTATGTCTTTGACAAATCAATTGCATCATTGTATTAAAAACACATCTCATAGACTGTTTGGTGTCCAAAATATACAAGTAGTGCAAAAACAGTGATGACACACATACAAAAAGGTTTTATTTACTAATTTATGGCTATGGCCATGATGTTAAGATACTTTTCAAAATTAATTGATTCGGTTTGCACTCCCAACATAACAAGGGAATTTCTGGCAAGTAATTATAATATTCAACAGACCCAAATTCGTAAGCTCATATTTTCTAGGAAAGTGTTTGGCAACAGTGTTTAATATCTTATCCCTCCACATTCGCAACAGTATAATATTTTTTTAGTAACAACCTATTGCTAAATTACTACCCAAAACCACATTTACTTATTTTTGATTCCTCTGATAGATACAAACATTTCTAACTGTTGAGCATAACTTAAAAATAAATATAGGTGAATGTTCGATTCCTCTATAGATAATACAGGAGAAAAAAAAAGGAAGAATGGGGAATTGGGTTATTATATTCCCATTCAAGGTTACATACCTAGATGATGAATTCACCCCTACAGCAACAATATTTAAATATATAAAATACAATATCAATAATTGGAAATATGTAAAGCTGAAAAATAGGATATCATGGCCGCTGATTTAGCACCTCAAAAAGTTTAACATGCTTTTTAAAGTACAACACAATGTCACATTTGATTCACATCTGACGATGTTATATCCATAGTCTCATTATATATATATATATCCAATCCTAATTTAATCTAGCTGCAATTATAGCAAGATTATACAAGGCCCCTATATAGTGACAACCACTCCGAGAACTTTCGTTATATGAGAAATTTCAACTGTTTCAGAGTATTTTTTTTTACCGTCATATGTCATGTTTACGTCCATATACCATGTTGATTTTTCTCAAAAACACTTTTTTGAGTTTCCATTCAGGTACAATACAATGAACGGTGTAATATTTTTTAGGAAACTTTAAATGGAGGTGAAATTCTGGAAATGCTAATATTACTAGTGACAATGGCAAACTCTCTTCCAGTTACATTTGAACCAATTAGATAAAAATTAATAAGTTTTTTTTTGATAAACATTGCAGGAACACAATAGTTTGTACCGATCAGAAGCGTAAAAAAATTGAGTGGCTGATGGGGATACAGACCAATTCATGAGCTTGACTGCTTGCTAGTGAACGAATCTTTAACCAGTGTTAATTGAATAGACATGATATAGTTTGATTATTGATAGCTTCACAATATTCTGGCTGACCAAATGTTCCAGATGAGGCGAGGGGAAGAATACAACATAATATTGTTCAGTAATATCAGCATGCGCACTCGCTGGTTGATGCAGGTGTTGTCTCTTGCTTGTTAGGATCCAAAATAACTTCGTCCACTGAAAATTAGAAAGAAAATCATTGATATATACTATGACCATATACAGCAGATCGATTAAAAAAAATACAGTCTATGTCAGTGGTTCTCAAACTTTTAAAAATTTGTCAAGTCTGACGGCCACCTGAAAAATAACTACCGGTAGTTAACAATAAGCTACAAATAACAGACAGTAAGGCGAAAGTATGTTTTATTAAAAAACGTGTTGAAATAAGGCGGGCATGAACAAATCTATCAAATATTTTGTACTCCTGAAGTATGAGCACCAGGATGTCGCATAACCTGAACCCTAGCCTGGTACACAACCTGAATTCAGATTGTGCGCACCGTCCAAATATTTTTCTTTCTAATTAGTTTCACACCCCCTCAATAAATGTCCACGCCCCCCTTGTGGACGCGACCTACCGCCCGAGAATCACTGGTCTATGTGGTTGATTGATTTATATACCCGATTACTGATATATATACTGATATACTGATGCTATACCCATATACCCAATAACTGCTCCACACAGACTATTAAAGTACTGTTGCAGAAATCGAAGCGGATAATTTGAGTGGTTTAAAAGACATGTATATTACTTACTTGATGGCCTTTCTTTTTCTTGTGAATTTTCCATTCCTGGTAACGCTGCCGCAACTCTGCGGAATAGCTAGAAGCAAACAATGGTTTAAACATGAGGTCAACAAGATAAAAACCGAACATTTGAAACTTGACAAACAATAAAATCTTTCGCAAAAAATCATATTAACCATCTCATTGTTAAACAAACAATAAAAAGAAAGCATGATTTTAATCTAAATAAAAAGAACGAGCGCAATACTACTGG